AAAAAAAAAAAAGAACAAAAAAGCTGGAGTGTTGTGATCTCTGATTTCAAACTATACTACAAAGCTATAGTAATCAAAACAGTATGGTATTGGCACAAAGACACATAGATCAATAGAACAGAACAGACAGCCTAGAAATAAACCCACACTACATGGTCAATTATGACAAAGAAGACAAGATCATACAGTGGCAAAAAGACAGCCTCTTCAATAAATAGTGTTGTGAATACTGGACAGCTACATGCAAAAGAAGCTGGAGCACATTCTTATACCATATACAAAAATCAACTCAAAATGAATTAAAGAATGTAAGACCTAAAACCATAAAACTACAAGAAAACTTAGGTAGTGTAAGCTCTGTGATGTCAGTCTTAGCAATTTTTGTTTTTGACCGGTCTCCTCTGGCAAGGGCAACGAAAGCAAAATTAACAGGGGCACCTGGGTGCCTCAGTTGGTTAAGCATCTGACTCTTGATCTCAGCTTATGTCTTGATCTCAGAGTCATGAATTCAAGCCCCGTATCAGGCCCTTCATTGGACTCCACACTGGGTGTGAAGCTTACTTTAAAAAAAGCAAAATAAACAAATGGGACTACATCAAGCTAAAAAGCTTTCGCACAGCAAAATAAACCCAACAAAACGAAAAGACAACCTACTGAATGGGAGAAGATATTTGGAAATGATGTATCTTTTTTTTTTAATTAAAACATTTTATTTTTGAGGGAGAGAGAGCGTGTAAGTGGCTAAGGGCAGAAGGAGAGGGAGACACAGAATCTGAAGCAGGCTATAGGCTCTGAGCTGTCAGCACAGAGCCCTACACAGGGCTCCAACTCACAAACCGTGCAATCATGACCTGAGCGGAAGTTGGATGCTCAAGGAACTGAACCACCCAGGTACCCCTGGAAATGATATATCTGATAAAGGGTTGGTATCTAAAATATATAAACAACTCATACAACTCAATAACAACACAGAAAAACCCATTTAAAAAATAGGCAGATGACCTGTGTAGACATTTTTCCAAAGAAGACCTATACATGGCCAACAGATACATGAAAAAATGTTCAGCATCACTCATCATCAGGGAAATGCAAATCAAAACCACAAATGCAATACCACTTCACACCTGCCTGGATGGCTAGTATCAGAAAGACAAGAATAACAAGTATTGGTGAGGGTGTACACTGTTGGTGGGAATGTAAATTGTTGCAGCTACTATAGAAAACAATATGGAGGTTCCTCAAAAAAATTACAAATAGAACTACCGTATCATCCAACAAGTCCACTTCTGGGTATTTATCTGAAGAAAATGAGAATACTAATTCAAAAAGATATATGGACCCCTATGTTCACTGCAGCTTTACAACAGCAACCTAAGTGTCTATCCATAAGTGAATGGATAAAGATGTAGTGTATATATATACACAGTGGACTTTTAATCATAGAAAAGAATGAAATTTCACCATTTGTGACAACATGGATGGACCTAGAAGATACTATGCTAAGTGAAATAAGTCAGACAGCAAATGGCAAATGCCATATGATTTCACTTACATGTGGAATCAAGACAAGACAAGACAACAGAAACAGACTCCTAAAAACACAGAACTGGTAGTTGCCAGAGGGCAGGAGGACAGATGAAACAGGTGAAGGGGATTAATAGATACAACTTCCAGTTATAAAATAAGCCATGGGGATGTAGTGTATAGCATAAGGGAATATTGTCAATAATATTAGAATGACTTTCATGAAAGACGGTAACTAGACCTATCATGATCATTTTGTAATGTACAAAAGTTTCAAATCGCTATTGTACACCTGAAACTAATGTCAATTATAATCTACTAAAAAAAATAAGAGTGATAGAAAACAAAACCAAAAGCGTCAGAAATATCCTGGTAAAATGAAGTGAAGGATTAAAGTAAAATCTCACAAATAAGAACTAATAAAGTCCACTGAACAAGTGTGGGATTTCTTAGCTGCACATTGGAAGCTGTAGGACCATGGAATACTACCTAGATTTATGAAGTGGAAAAAAAATAGCTACAACCTGAGACTGAAATATCATTATGGTAACATTTACCAGTCAGGGTGAAGGAAAGCTATTCACAGAGCTGTACAATTTTATAAACTATTTCCCATGTGTCTCATGTATGGAAAATTTTCAGAAAGGACTACTCAATTACAAAATAAATCAGAACAGCAACTTCAAAATCAGGGAAGATGGAGAAAAAATAGTAATGAGCAATGAATCTTGCAGTGTATGTATAATTAAGTCTGAGTGGATGATGATCTAGTGACTAGGAATTGGTAATGTAAATGCTAAATTTTTTTTTAAAAAGCCTTTGTAAGTAAGTATATAACTATAAAACAAGCAGCTTTAGTGCCCTGAGTCTTATTTTTAACCAGATTCATAGATTTATGTTAATGCCATGCTATCATGGGACATCTGGCAATACAATCCCCAGTCTAGTCCAACTCCCTCTATTTGCCCATTTGGATAATGGCCTGGTTCCCTTCCTTGATGCCATATATTTACTATCAGTGACTTGTAGTGCCTGCAAATAAATAGGATTGTGAGAAAAGCACTTACTGGTTAAGTTTAAACGTTGAAAAAATAGTCAATAGCTATACAAAAATTGTAATAACTACTATTTGTTTATATGTCTGGGACTTAGATATGTTATATATGTTATCTCATATGATGCTTAGATAGCCTGTAAAGTACAGGTTAGTATTATCCTGCTTTTCAGGTGAGGAACCTAACGCTTACAAAGAGTAACTTGTCCAGGTCTCACAGCTAGTAATTGGGTCAGGTTGCCTTTTTGTGTTTTCAGTATTTCCCCCCAGACAAATAGTAAAGATTTGAACTACTAGTCCTGGTGTCTTTCAGGAGTATAGTCTATGTTAGGAAATAACCTGACACAATTTCTTCACTAGCCTGAGCTTTCTACTAGGGGCAATGTGTAATTACAACATTCAGTGAATATCTGTGTACTAAACTTTGGGGGTGGAGAGGGAGTTGAAGGTCTGGTGGAAAGAGACCTCAAACACAACCATGAGAAAACAAAGCATTCATCTGTAAAGTGTTTAACTACTGAAAGCCTATAATAGCCTAACATAGCACATACCATTAATGATGATGGGGTTTCACATCTCACTGAGAAACTTCATAATTGGACATAGAAAATGTTATGTGACATTTTTAAGGGAAGATTATTTGGTTTAAGTGGGAAATAGGAAATCTCTCATGCTTTGTTTTTCCTTCTAAAATGTCATAGCTGGGGGTGCCTGGGTGGCTCAGTTAAGTGTTCGACTTCAGCCCAGGTCATGATCTCACGGTTTGTGAGTTTGAGCCCCACATTGGGATCTGTGCTGACAGCTCAGAGCCTGGAGCCTGCTTCGGATTCAGTGTCTTCCTCTCTATCTGCCCCTCTCCTGCTCCTGCTCTCTCAAAAATAAATAAATGCTAAAAAAAAAAAAAAAAAAAAAAAAGAAAAGGTCATAGCTGAAAACATAACTAACTCCCCAGGCTTGAAAAGATTCTTGGGTTCTGACTGACCATTTTACAGAGGATCCAGAATGAACACTGTAACTTGACTTATTTCTCATTTCTTGTCATGAAATATATAGGCTGTAGGTCCTTTGAACCAACAAATCTGGTTTTGGTTTTTGGGTCATTATGTTAAGAGCATCCAGACATTGGTTCTTTTGATATTTCCCATCTTTTGATCATACTGATTTTTAATATGTCTTTTATTTTCAGAAGGAGTTTTGGAACACCTACACAAAAGCCCAACAAGGAGAGAGTAACCGAGGAAGTGACTGGTTTCAGTTTTACCTTACCTTTCCATTAATCTTTGGCCTCTTCATTATCCTTCTTGTCATTTTCCTAATTTGGAGATGCTTCCTCAGAAACAAAACTCGCAGACAGACAGTAACTGAAGGCCACATTCCTTTCCCTCAGCACCTTAATATTATCACTCCGCCTCCCCCACCAGATGAAGTGTTTGATAGCAGTGGATTGTCACCAGGCTTCCTGGAATATGTAGTTGGGCGCTCAGATTCTGTCTCCACTCGCCTATCCAACTGCGATCCTCCACCCACCTATGAGGAAGCCACTGGCCAGGTGACCCTCCGGAGGAGTGAAACAGAACCTCATTTAGACCCACCCCCAGAGTATGAGGACATCATCAATTCCAACTCAGCCAGTGCCATTGCCATGGTGCCTGTGGTCACCACCATCAAATGAAACTGTAACCTTTTTACTATAATCATTTTTAAAATACTAATGAAAGAACTTTCTAGCACTTTACCACTACATAAATGTGCATTGACTTATTGTATTGGACTCTGACAGCATACCACTTCACATTTTCTGATTTGATTTTCATTAGATTTGTTTCCGACTCTAAAATCATTATCCATGCTCATTTTTGCTAATCAAAATATGTGAAGAGGGAAAAACATATTAGTGGAGGTCTTTATGTGATGTGATGAGGTACACATATGTGTGTGTGTATTTCTATGCATACATATGTGTATGCACATCACCCCAGTATATGTGCAAGTGTCTTAAAAAGCCATTAACTTCTGTCTAAATCACCTATAAAGAGAACATTACTCACCAAAATAAGGGGGGGGGGGGACAGCAACAACTTGTACCATAGCCAGCCACATGCTGTTGAATTTTGAAAATAAGATGAACTTAGTATGTTTTCTAATTCTTACTGGCTTTTGTTAACCTCCTTTTTCTTCAGCTACCTTAAAAAATGCATGTAATCCACCTTGATTTTAGAAACATCTCAAAAGGAGAGAGGAAAGGCACAATAAATGATAATTTACTTATAGTATATAGCAAGAATACCATTGGTCATTAGTGGCATTTGGGTAGTTTGGAGGAATGATTTTGTTATTGACTGCCTTCCCCTTAACTCCTAAAATTAAACACTGTTTGCTTAGTGTCTGAATAGCTCATGCTATTTGTATTAACATCTTGGTTAAATACAGAGAGGATCTCCTGGCAGCAGGATAGTTTCTAGTTATATGTATTAATGACAGGGAAGAGATAACAGATTTCTCATTTACTCATTTGTGACCATAATTATTTTCTTTTTGCTGTTTCAGTGCCTTTTACTCTACTGTCTACTCCTTCTCTTACCACCACAGAATTTGTAAGAACCCAAGAATTTAGTAAAAATCTTGAAATTATCTTCTTAGTTTTTATATAGACTGAAGTCTTTGCTTCAAGATGATTAGGAGGCGTTTTCCATTAAATTAGGAACTATGATTTTTATATTGCTCTCCAATTGGTGGAGGAAGATTGCAAAGTCTGTTGTGCCAGGTGCACATAGTTTCACATATTTTCATTGTTGCTATTTCATTTTGTATTTTCATCAAATTTTTTTAAAGTGCAGGATATTTACTTTGCTCTTGGAGTAAAGGGAACAGGCTATGAATGAACTGCCAACAGAAACTGGCGCAGAAAGGAAAAGAGGGCTGTTCCATTAATATAGGCACTGATGGAAAATTCATTCTGTTGGTCAGGGAAATATCTCTGCCACTCCCAAGCCTCCTTAGTGTTGGATAAAATGGTTAATGAAGCAGAAGGAGTACAGGTTTTGTAAGTGTCAGTCATATCCTGCCGCCTCCATCTCCATCCCTACAGACCGCCCCGCTCCAGTCCTTCCCTGGAACCCAAGGAAGGAGGAATGCTGGGGGGAAACCCTGAACCAGGAGTCAGATGACCCGAATTCTAATCCTGTTCTCTAAAAAAGGTACTTGCCCTGGTACCGTGGGAAAGACCCATATCTACACCTCAGATTCTTGAACTCTGAAACGGATAATGTCATTTATCCTACCCTTCTCCAGGGGCTTTAAAAGGATCTAATGAGATGGTGTGTATGAAAATAATTCTTTAGATGTGAAGAGCTGTCTGCGTGTAAGGTCATAGCATTGCTCTTATTGTGCTTAAGGGAGAATTTTCTCCCTGTTTCCCTAAAATTTATCAGAGGTTTCACATAGTGAGAAGTAGAGTAGACTGCTCCATAAATGGCTAACGTGTTCCTGATCCGAGTGTCTTGCTATTAAACTTCTGTCACTCTGGTCTATCCCAGTGCTGTGCCAATTTAAGAGACGACAGCCAGCTTATCACAAACAGGATTAAGAAGATATTGGAAAGGAAACTAAGATGTATGTGTTTAAGATGTATGTAGTTAATAGGTTTCATATCTTTCCTGAACTAAGAATTAATAAATCTTGACCCTCATCTCAGTAGAAATGACAATATTAATTTGAATTTGGCCATGAGCACATGGTAACTTTTGGCTTCTAGTTGTAGCTGAAAGTGGGAGTGTTTGATCCAGTGACGTGTGTGTGTGTGTGTGGCTATTTTGGCTCTTTTTTAAAGGAAAATTAAGGTTCCTTTTTTATGGGCTTTTTTTTTTTCTTTGATTATTAACATTAGGCCTTACCTTAAACCAGCAGTTTTTAAAGTGTGGCTGGCCCATGAACCCCTGGGAGCCCTTGAGAGAATTTTAGGACATCTGTGAGATCAAAACTATTTTCATAATAATATACAGGCATTAGTTGTCTTTTCACTCTCTCAAAAAGAAGTTGAAAATGCAAAACAATGCCATTTCCCACAAATCTTTTTTTCTGTTTTAGGAAATATAGGTATTTTCTTAAAAATGTTATTTATGTTAGCATGTAATAGACTTTCATTTTTAAATAAATGCTTACAGTTTTTTTTTAGTTTTATTTTCTAATATGGCAAATATTGATGGATATAAACTCTATAAACAAAAGCTCTTTGGCATCCCGATCTCTAATAAATTTTAAAGAGTATAAAGGGGTCTGGAGACCCAAAGTTTTAGAATTACAGGGTCAAAGGAACAGGATGTTCTATTACTATGTATATACTTGCAACTTTATCTTACATTTTAAAGTCTTGATATTGGATTTAATGCTGCCTCTTAATGATACCTGAATTGCAGTGTAAGAATGGATATTGATTCTTGAAGCAAAAGCCAAACGCTTCATCAGTTGATACAGCTTTTTGGCCTGTTGGTCCAAGACAACACACTACCCTGTAGTGATACTGATACCAGCCACAGATCTCTGGCAGCATTTGTGTGATAAAGACAGGATAACAAAATACCACTTTCTTCAAGAAACATTTCTTAGTTCGTTTTGTTTGATTTTGATTTGGGTTTTACATTTTTCAAAACCCTTTTTGCTACCCCTTCTGGTTTTATAAACTGAGTTTCTTAACATTTGTTATAATTAAAGTGGCTTGTCTGGAATAATATTTTTTATGCTTTTGCCTTTCTTACATGATTGATATTACATTCACCTTTGGTCGTTTTTAATAAAGGTTTATTTTTGCAGATATATTCAGTACCTTTCTTAAGCAGTAATTAAGTTGAATCAACCAGTTTGCATTTAAACGAGAGAATGGGCTTCATAGTCTTCCAATGGAATGATTTCTAGGCCTCCATGATGCAGTGGTTGTGTATGGGATCCCAGAACTGGCACTTTCTGCCTTTCTGCTTGGAATGTCACAATGAATTATATGTGTTTAAAGTAAATTCAAGGATTTCTTTTTTTCTTATTGACCAGTACAAATACAAATGTTGTGTTTGATTCATTGTTAATGATGACTTCAAGATTGATGATGTGATAGAATAACTGTGGAGGTAGCTTTAACTTGGTTCTGTGTAAATAGCATGTGTTTTATTATAATTCACATTTTTAAACACTTGGTTTACATTAAATTATGATATTTAACTATTTTTATGTTTATACTAGGTAAGGTTTTTCTTATGTTTCTGTGTTTTGGGTATGCTAAATAAAGCTATTTTTAAACCCAAGAGATTTGTTTTCTGCCATGTATTAATTCTGTTATGGTAAGGTGATAACATGCTGCATAAGCTTTTATTAATTGTGGTCTTTTTAACAAGGGAAGATTATTGTTTCTTTTTTCTTACATATTTAAGAAATATTGTTCAGTAATCCTAAATTGGAGAATACCTCAGGGTATTCTCAGCAGAAGAAAAAACTTTCTATACTAACTTTTGAATGATGTTGGCATGATGCAAAATGGGAACACTTGGTTCAGAGGGCCCTCCCTGCTTGTCAAGTCTTGGGTATTGTGTTGTCTGCAGATACCAAGGGGCTGGGTTTTTTTTTTCCTCTTTAACAGCTTATATTTGACATTTGAGAATATGAGAAAGGAAAGCACAAGATGGAAACATTTGTGACCACAGGGCATCTTCCTAAGTGTAGTTACCTCAAAGACTAAAAAGGTGATGTGATAGGTCATTGACCCAGCAAATGTAAATATGACTTGATCTTTATGGTATAAAAATTTAAATGATTTACTTACCATCTATACCTACAATTTCTCCTTGAATGTAAGTCTGAGTATCCATTTTGTAAGTCTAAATCCCCAAAGAGTTGTGTAAAACATAACAGGGTACTTTTTAAAAACTATATAGCAATTTCTAAAAATTATATAACATACAGATTAATACATCATGAAACCCAACACCGAGATCAAGATATTTCTAGCACCCTAGAAGGCTCCGTCATACACCTCTCCTTAAACATAACACTATTCTCACATCTATCATAAGAGATCAGGTTTTTAAATTTCATACTTGGCTGTGGCCATATGGACTTGGCTCTCTTCCTTTTTTAAATTCTTATTTCAGAAAACTTCAAGGTAGAAGTTCCAGAGCTGCTCTTCCATCCTTCTCCTTGAACCTACTCCTCTTCTAAACCTTTTCTACACACCTGAAGCTCTTTGAGGGCAAGAATTATGTTTAATCCCTTTAATTCTCTTCCTCCAAAACATCAAATACCTTAAAGTGAGGGCTTTTTTAATCCTATGTATTGATCAAAATATCAGTTTTCTGTCTTCATGCTTGTGTTTCTGCTGTAGTTCTTATCACCTACCATTTCCTTAAACTTTGTATGATGACATTTTGTTTTCATTTTCTCTATATATGTATATCCAATCTATATCTATATCTCTATATTTTTTTACTTCAAAATCTGTGATCTGGTCCCACAGGCCTATCTGATTTTATTTCCTTCCATAGCTCAGGTAATAGATATTTACAAAGTGCCTACTTTGTGTGAAACTAGGGACATAAGAAAATAATGGTGCTTATAGATGTCATCCCTGGGATTTTGCAGCAGGCCAAGTCTGGGATAAATTTATAATTTAATTTAGTGTAATCCTAATTC